ACAGTGACTTGGAAGAACTTCTGAGCCTTCCCGAAAGAGAATTCAAAACTGCCGAGATGAAAAAACTGATGGAAGTCATTAAGGAAAACAACACTCAGAAGAATGAAATTGAGTCCCTAAAGAGGGAAATGAAGGAAATGCAGGAGATCACAGGGTTAACAGAAGAGCTAAAGAACGCTGGGAAAAGCAGTGATAACAGAATAGAGGAAATGGAAGTACGAATAAGCACTCTCGAAGACACAGCAATAAAAACAACCAAAACAGAAAAGGAAAGAGAAGTACGAAGGAAAAAGACTGAAGAAAGACTTCGGGAACTATCTGACTCCATGAGGAAAGGAAATAGAAGAGTTACAGGAATCCCAGAAGGAGAGGAGAGAGACCTAGGAACAGAGAAAATATTCAAGGAAATAATTGAAGAGAACTTCCCAGACATGAAGAAGGAGCTGAAAATAGACGTACAAGCAGCAAGAAAAACACCAACCTTCCATGATGAAAGGAAAAATACAGCAAGACACATAATAGTAAAGCTCCCAAGAATCCAAGACAAGGAAAATATGATGAAGCTGACAAGAGGGAAGAAACAGATAACATTCAAAGGAAAACCAATCTGGCTGACATCAGACTTCTCTGAAGAAACACTACGGGCAAGGAGAGAGTGGAGGGACATAAGTCAACAGACTCCAAGACAACAGATGCCAACCAAGAATCCTCTATCCTGCAAAGCTCTCCTTCCTCTAGGAAGAAAGAATAAGGACCTTCCCAGACACACAGAAACTCGGAATTTCATTACGACTAAACCCCCACTCCAAAAAAGTCCTAGCCAGAGCAATAAGACAAGAGAAAGACATACAAGGAATCCAAATAGGGAAGGAAGAAGTCAAACTATCACTATTCGCAGATGATACGATAATACACATAGAGAACCCCAAAACTCCACAGAAAAACTAATTCAACTCATCAATCAGTTTAGTAAAGTGGCAGGATACAAAATTAACAAACAAAAATCAGTAGCCTTCCTATACACCAACAATAAATCTGAAGAAGAAATCAAAAAGACCCTTTTATTATTGAAGCAAAAAAAAAAAAAAATCAAATACCTGGGAATAAACCTAACAAAAGAGGTAAAGGACCTATACAAAGAAAACTATAAAACACTGTTAAAAGAAACAGAAGAAGACACAAAGAAATGGAGAGACATCCCCTGCTCATGGATTGGAAGAATAAACATTATTAAAATGGCCATCCTACCAAAAGCAATATACAGATTCAATGCTATTCCAATCAAATTTTCAATGACATTCTTCAAAGAAATAGAACAATTACTGATGAAATTCATACGGAATCACCAAAAACCCCCAACAGCCAAAGCTCTCCTGAAAAAAAAAAAAAAAGAGGGGAACGGAGGCATCACATTCCCAGTCTTCAAACTATACTACAAAGCCATAATTGAAAACTGCATGGTATTGGAACAAGCACAGACACACGGACCAATGGAACCCAATAGAAAAATCCAGAAATAAACCCACAGATTTATGGTCAACTAATCTTTGACAAAGGAGCAAAGACTATGCATTGGAGCAAAGAAAGTCTGTTCAATAAATGGTGCTGGGAAAACTGGGTCGCTACATGCAAAAGAATGAAGCTTGACCACGACCTCACACCATACACAAAAATCAACTCAAAATGGATTAAAGAACTAGACATAAGACCTGAAACCATAAAATATGTAGAAGGAAATATAGGCGAAACACTACGGGATTTGCACATCAAAGACATCTTTACAGACACATCACCCAAAGCAGTGATAGTGAAGGCAAAGATCAACAGCTGGGACTACATCAAATTAAAGAGCTTCTGCACAGCAAAAGAGACAATAACAAAAACAAAGAGAAACCCCACCAACTGGGAGAACATTTTTGCACCCAACACTAATGATAAAGGACTGATCACAAAAATCTGCAAAGAGCTGATGAGACTCAACAACAACAAAGAAAATAATCCAGTCAAAAAATGGGCAGAAGAGCTAAAAAGAAACTTCTCTGAAGAGGAAATGCAAATGGCCAACAGGCATAGGAAAAAATGTTCAACATCACCTGTCATCAGGGAAATGCAAATCAAAACTACCATGAGATACCATCTCACACCAGTGAGAATGGCACATATTAAAAAAACCAGCAACAACAAATGTTGGCGAGGGTGTGGAGAAGAAGGAACTCTTCTGCACTGTTGGTGGGAGTGCAAACTGGTCCAACCACTGCGGAGAGCTGTGTGGAGATTTCTGGACCTACTAAACATAGAGCTTCCCTAGGATCCAGCAGTTCCACTCCTAGGTATTGACCCAAACGACACAGAAACATCCATTCCAAAGGGCACCTGCATCCCTGTGTTTATAGCAGCACTGTTCACAATAGCTAAGCTTTGGAAACAACCCAAATGCCCAGTGCGAGGCTAAGACCTGGGGAAATGCAGTTTCGCCTCTTCGGAGGCCTCTCCACTACCTGCTGGCTCGCGCAGGGCTGGTGGGCTCTGTGGGCAGCGCAGCATGAGGGGTATTTCCACAGCTCTACGTCCTTCTCTTTCACGCCTGCTTGTCGGGTGGGCCATGGTCAAACCCCACTGAGGAGAGATGAGAAGGCCGTTCCCAAACAGGAAGCGTGGCCGGCGTCACCACTGTTGTTGAAACGATGCCCATTTTACCAACACAGAGCGACCTGTAGTGCCAGCTGCGAGCAGGACTTGCCTCACGCAGTATGTGCAGCCGGGCAAGCGTAGCCCGGGGATGAGCACACCCCAACGCCTCTGCTGGAGGCTGACCCCAGCCTGCCCTGGGCTGCGCCTGTCCCCCAGGACCTGGCTCTGCACCCAGGGCTCATTCTCGGGTTCTGAGTCTGGTATCACAGCCCCTTGACTGCATCACACGTGCCATCTACTCTCGGAGGCCCCTCTCCAGACGGGCCCGGCTTGACACCGCCTTGTGTCCAGGGCAGTGTCTGTGGCTCGTCCTGCCACACGGGGCCTCCGGGGCCAGCCCTGCCAGGGCCTTCCCACAGGAGCGCAGCCCGGCTCCCACTGCCACCGCCGCAGGCCATGACTCCACGCCAGACTGCCTTTGGCCATGGTCTGCTTGTCTCCCCGGACAGGCCAGACGTCTGTTGGGTGAAGTTACTCCGTCACAGACTACAAACCCCAGTCTTGGTGGTGAGTCTGGAGAACCGTGTCCAGCAGGACGCTGGTGAAGGCGCAGCAGGGGAGAGTGGGCTTGCAGGGGCCCATGGTTGGGGAGGGAACGGGGTGGGGGGCTGGGCTCCCTGCCCACAGACAAGAAAACACCTCCCCTCCCAGCCGGACTGGGATCTTTCAGAAGCCTGGAGTGTTCTCCATCCTCAGGACTTGCCCTCACCTGGACACCAAGGACAAAAAGTCACCGAAACCCCATCCTGGACGCAGAGAAGCCCCAGCTTGGATTCCCAAGGAGGGGGCGGCCTGGGACTCTGTCCTCCCCGCTGCTCATCCTGCCCGGGGCGTGGCCGGATCCTGGCTGCCGTTCAGCGCCGCCCCGCACCTGCTGGCGCTCGCTTCTAAGCAGCCCTGGAAAAGTCCCGCACCATAGAGCCTCCGCGTCCACTGTTTACATTACAAAGTCTCCCGCCAAACAGAGAAAACCGAGGCTTCCAGGTTTCTGAGCCAAAAAAGTACTAGTGGTTTATTTCTACCGGGGAAATACAATGGGATGACTAATTAGGCAGAAGGACAAAAGCCTCACGGCGAGCACTTTCCAGGAGAGCTGGCCGCTCAGCCGCTGCACAGACAGCAGGCCCTGCCCTCTGCACAGCCAGAAACACCGCGGGGCTTCTGCCCCGAAGTCGCAGCTACGAGCAGCGGGCAGCCGGCAGAGCCCTGCCCGGAACACGGGGCCAGGCACGCATGGACCGCGCGGTCCGGGCTGTCTGGAGCACAGGGGGCAAAGGCGGCACCGGGACGGGGGTGGGGGCAGGGGTGGCCGCGATTGCCACTTCACCCAGTGGGCTCGAGGACGAGCCCGAGCGGTGCCCCAGCCAGCGGCAGGTGTGACAGGACAACCGGATGCCACAGATGCTGGCCCACCCCAGGCGCACAACAGGGGTCCCTCGCGCCTCCAGAGGCCCCCACCGCCCTCCGGCACTGGGGTCCGAGCCAGCACAGACCCCCGGCGAAGGCTGCATCCTCCTCTGCGCCCTCCACAGGCTGGACGTGCAGAGGGGCCCCACGGGCTCTGGGAACTAGAATCAGCCTTTGGGGTCGGTGCACATCGGCTGGCTGAGCACGCACCCCGGGCTCCCACGCACAGGTCACCCCCTCAGGAGAAACCAACTCCTCCCAAGCCTGCGACACCCTTGGGACACAAGCAGGTGCCCAGGGCAAAAGCAGGGATCCACATTTGTGGCAACCCCTGCCACCCCCCCACACTGCGCTCCCGCCCCCACATGGCCAGTTGCCTCAACGCCCGAGACCGGGACCCGGTGGGCGCTCGCTGACCACGCCACTGACCCTCAGTGCCCAGCAAAACCGAGGCCACTGACTCGCTCCCTGAGTGTCTGCTCCTCGGCCTCTCCTCCCTTGCCCTGCCAGCCTCCCAGAACCCCACCAAGGCTTTTCTCCCTTGCCAAGCCGTCCGCGGACACGCTGGGCGCAGGCTCTTTGTGCGAACAGCTGCCCGCACTTCAGGAGCCAGGAGCTCAGCCAGACGGCACCACGCCTGCCCCGGCCCGCTCGCCCAGCCCTGTCCCCGCAGGGAGCATCTATGGGGCGCCCGCTGTGACCTCAGGCGGATTGACCCCCACACCTGCCACCCGAAGCGGAGACCGCTCGGTCGCGGGGGGCCAAGGGCGCTTTTAGGCGTCGTCACCGGCTCCAGGGAAGCCGCGATTCAGGAGTCCTCAGCTAACAGCAGGGGCTCCCGGCGTGACCCTGGGGAACCCTCCCTGAGGGGGAGCTGGGGGGCCCGCTCGGTGGCCGCCTACCTGTGCGGATGCTCCTGCAGCACTTGATAAATGCTGATAAGAAAAGTTTGGTTTTTAAAACCACCTACAACGCAGTCCTTGTAGATCCGAAACTCTGCAGCGGTGACCGCCTGGCCCTCGGGGATGTGGGACAGGTTGAACTTGAACTCTCTGTGGCGGCGCTGGCGAGGGGAGAGCTCCTTGTCGGACTCCACTACAAGATCAAAGGAAAGAGTGACAGCTGTGGTTACTGCACGCAGGCCAGGCCTCCCAAGCGGACTGGGCGCCCCGCGGGTTGGGGGGCGGTCGGGGGAGGTGGTTGGGGCTGCTGGAGCCCTCCACTTCACCCCAGGCCTCTCACTTTACTAAGATCATCAAATTCTTAGATGGACAAAGTTGTGGGAAAGCAAGTTATTTACCCCCCGGGCTTCGGCTGTTCCCTGCACACAGGGGACTACAGGCCTCAGAGGCGCCTGGGAGGGGACGGGATGATGAAGGGGAAGCTGGCAGCCCTGGACCATGAGCTCCCACCCTCCCCAGCCCCTTCCTCCCTGCCACTTTGCACCCCACTCCCCGTCTGTTCAACCATTGCTGCCGCCTGAGCCCCTGGGGTAGTGGGGGGTGGGGGGGGGAGGCGTCGAGCAGTGCATTTGCAGCAGGGGCTGCAGCTGCGAGGGGCCTCGGTTTTGGCCTAGCACTGAGAGGACATGTGTGGAGGGCTTCGGGGCAAAGCTGCATAGACGATGTTGCAGGAACCAAAGCCCACCACCCCCCTGATGCTGATGGAGCCAAGGGCTGAGCACCCGCTGGGGAACTCCCAGTGGGGCCACCCCAGTCTCCTCTGCACCTCGTGGGGGACCCATGCCTGAGGAGGGAGCTCAGCAGCCGACCACCCACACAGCCAGACCACAGCCTTCCAGGAACTGGAGAGGGATGGAGCCAAGGTTGGCTGTCCGTGGACCATCCCCCCGGAGGCAGAGGATGGGCACCGGGGTAGCCACCACCTCTCAGTCTGGCAGCGGCCAAGTCTGCGTCCCACCCCGATCCTGCCCCTCCCCACTCCAGGCACCTTTGCCCTGCTGCTCTGGCTGCAGGGAAATCTCTGCAGCAAATTAATCCTTCAGGGCTAAGCTTTCCCAGGGCTTGAGAGTCGAGAAAAGCGCCAAGTCATCTGCTGCCTCCAGCTGCCCTCTCTCCCCGAGGGGAGGGCCGTGGCGACGGCTCCTGCAGGCGGCGGCAGCAGAGTGGCCCCCATCGAGGCCTGACGGGCACCTCGAGACTTCCACGGGACCACGCTGCGAGTCTTTGGAATTCAAGTTCTTTCTCGATTTCGAGGGTTAAAAGGGACTAAGCTTTGGCCTAAGAGCCTGAACATAGGTAAAAAATAAAGGCCCAGCCTGAAAGCCAGCCACACCGAGAGTGGATTTTCTCATTTGCACCTGCGCCTGGGGGTGGGGGGGGGCGGGCGGGCAGGGACACCCATGAGACGGCATCCCCCGCTGAAGCCCCCCACCACCCAAGTCCACCACGTCACCCGTGGCTGGAAGGGGAGGCAGTGCAGTTCCCAGAGACTTTCTAAAAAAAAAGGAGCACAACCTCAGAGACGACCATGATCGGAGCAGAGAAGGGAGCACAAAGTCCACTCAAGGACAGACGTGGGGGCTAGTCTTTGGGGCAGAGCAGCACCCCAAATAAAGCATGCCCTGTAGTCACACACTGGGGTGACCCTGTGGGGCTCCGTCCCCCTCTAGGGCATCCCGGGACTGCAGTGCAGTCACTGCTGAGGCCTGTTCATAAGTCTGGGACTCCTCCTGTCAGGGGGAGAGGCTGTCCTGAGCTAATCCCATGCAGGCTTGGTGGACTCCACCCCACTCCAGACCGAAGCCATCAGGACACCGGGAAAGACAAATCCCGTCCCCACCCAAGGGAAGGTGGCTGGGGCCTGCGGGTGGGTTTAAGCAGCCAGGTTGGGTGTAAAACCAGACACGTGGGCCTTGGGGGGCCCTTTGGCTTCACAGCTCTTGGCTCGCGGCCAGCTCTCGGAGTGCCTTTGGGTTTCCAGGTCGGCGGATCGGGTAGGACGCATGAAAGACTTTATTTCCCTATTTTCTCCCTGAGCTGTACATTTCCTCATTTCCCCTTCCCTTGTGAATAAGCCTTTTATGAACCTTCTGTGTGCGCCTGCAGCGGAGTATTCATAAGTCCCTTGTAAGCACGCGGGTCAGGACCCACAGCCAGGCCACCCGGTCAATATCGGGGCTGCCCTGTAACACTCCCCCATGGGCGTCCAGGGAGACTTGCTGGGGAAAGGGTTGGGGGAAGTCGTGACTCTGACACCTCCATGCTGACCCGGCCCTCGGGCCCAACCCGACCCTCGCACCTAACCCCTAAGTCTTAACCTCAGCCCTCACTCCATAATCCTTAAGCCATAACCCTGAATACTTCACCTCAACCTTTGACCCTTAACCCGTAATCCCTAAACCCAAAGCGGTAATTCCTAGTCCATAACCCCAACCCTTAACTCCAAACCCTAACCCCAAAACCCTAACTCTCCAACCCAAGCCCTAATCCCTGGTCCAAGGAAGCCCCAACACAGAGGCTGCACAGGCAGGGGCAGGGCCGGTCAGCTAGGCACAAGACCTGCCACCCGCTCACTGCCACCTCCAAGGCTGCGGCTCCCGCGCCCACCGCGTCCCGAGCCCCAAACATCAGCGAGCAGGCCCACGCCACTGTCCAGAGTGCTGCTGGGTGCGTGTTCAGGGCACAGCCGCCCACGAGCAGGAGGGGGGAGGAGGGGCGAGCCGGGAGCCAACCCCTCCAGGAAGGGGCAGCTCTGGAGAGCGAGGCTCTGCGCGTGCAAGGAGGCGGCATGAATGGCATGCGCGGGCGAGCGGGGTTGGGGGTGGGGTAATGGGAGCAAACACCTCCTCAAATTCGTGTTTCTGTGTTTTCCAGAAAGTGCCCAGTGTGGACTAACTGGCTCACGTGGGGTTTCTGCTTCTAACGCTGTGAGAAACCTCCGCACTGGTTTCCACGGCGCCTGCAGCGATCCAGCCCCCGTGGGCCCGAGGCTCCCTCCACATGCCCGCACCTCCCCTGGCTCTGCTGGCGCCACGTTGGGACCGCCATGACCGGAATGCTGAGGGCCCCGCAGCCAGACAACACACTTGTGTTTCTCAGTCTTCTGGAGGTCGAAGTCCCAGACCAGGCGCACAAGGTGGGTGCCTGGCGGGGCACCTCGGGGTGCAGGGTCCTCCTCGCGCTCTTACAGGAGGCGAAACCCCCTAGGGCCCCTCCCTTGAAACTTGCCCAGACCTTATCACCCCCCCAAAGGCGTCCCCTCCTCAATCCCTCCCGCTGGGGGTCGGGGCAAAGGCTGTGACAGGAAGGTGTCCATGACCCCTGGCCTGAGGGTCGTGTGTTTTACTGCCTTGCCAATTCACAGGCTGGAATTTCACGCCGTGTCCCTGGTGAGACGGGGCGGTAGTCTCTCCTAATCCCGTGTTGTCTGGTTTCAAGCTGAACTTGCTCTTGGAATTAGAGGGAGAACATTCCAGAACTAGGCGGAGGATGGTCCAGGAGTAGGCGGAGAACATTCCAGAATTAAGTAGAGACTGTTCTGTTCCTTTTTCTCTTTTCAAGAAAATGATTCCTTTCTCTGCAGTTGGGCAAACTTATCTGTACGATCGCTGGATGGTTTTGGGTGTAAAATGTAATCAGACATTATTTTCCTTGAAACTATCCAGGCTATTTCTTTGAGTCAGTGTGCATTTTCTAGAGGTCCGTCAACTGTGGCTTGATTATTCAAAGCTATTGGCCCTCACGACCTTCAGAGTATTCTTCTTGTCTAATCTCCGCGCCATGATTTTTTTTATTCCAATGTTAGCCCTTTGTGGCTTCCCTTCTCCTGACCCATCTGGCTGCAGGTAACTATTTTTCTCACTTGATTATGTTAAAAATATTTTAACACTGGTATTTTCCAAAGACCTCCCACTAAGTCTGAATAACGTCACTTAAAGTTGCCTAGAGGAAATACAGGCACCGTCTATTTCCACTGCCCGGGTAGATCAGAAGAGCAAGCCGGGAAGAGGCGAGCAAAGCCAGCGGCAGGCTGCGGTGACCTCACGCAGGACCACATCTCCTCACCGCCATGTCTTCGCCAAGCCCAGCCTCCAAAAGGTGCCGAATTAAAATAAAAACAAAACCTCCCATCTCAGTGCAGATGTTTGTTCTGCTGCTTTCTCTCTCTGTGTTGGAGATGGCCAGCGCCACTTCCACGCCCAGCGGCTCTGCCCTCCCTGGGCCCTGAGCTGCCCTCGGGACCTTTGGCCTCTGGGCTTGTTTGTTCACAGTGAAGCAAAGGCGAGGGGGCCTCCAGGCTGCAGAAGCTGCTGCTGGCCATCCTGCCTCACCCGCAGCACCTTGGGACCTGAGGATTTCAGCTTCTGCGTTTGGAAAATAACATCTGGGACACATTCCTCTCAACTCCAACGACGTCAAGCCTGACCGCTGTTTGAGGGTGTTACAAGCATCTCCATACAGGAGTTTTCATCTGTGTCTCAGGAAGTCCTGGGGGCAGGGCGGGGGGCAAAGCTGATGTCACCGCCGTCTAGCAGCGAGAGTTGAGGTCCACACCAGTTCGGGGCTTCCCTGCATCCTCATTTCAGGACCTCAGCTGCCGTCTCCACATTCCCACCTCCCCCCCGCCCACCCCGTCCCAGTGAGTATCTCTAGCTGCTGGGTTCACGTCTTCACCAGACGCCCGGACACACAAAACGCAAGTCCCGACCCCCTCAGCTGAGCTGCCCGTCACTCCACAGAGCCAGCGAGTCACCAGCCTCTGTGGTTCACTGTCCAGACGCACAAAAGCACCAGCCACAGGTGGAACTCCTGCATATGTAGATTCAGACTCAGCTCCGCAGCCACAGCCGCCATGTTTCAAGCGGTCTGTGGCTGCACGTGGCTAGTGGAAGCTGCACTGCAGAGCACACCCCGACCGCGCCCGCCATCACAGTGTCTCTGCCGGACAGCACTGTTCCAGGAAGCCCCCTACCCCAGCCGGCCTACTCCCTCCTGGACCTCCCACAAGAGGCGGCTCTTCTGGCTGGTCGAGTGACCGGGCTGCTGTCCAGCCCTTGTGGCGTCTACAGGGCAGCCTTGAGGCCTGGAAACTATGTCTTCCTGGGCTGGACTGCGACACCTGCTCCGTTCTGC